CCAATTCCTCAGTTTAATAAACTACTATGTCTAAATTGTCTCCTCTAAAATCAATGACACTGAATTCTAAATTCATTCAATCTATAAAAAAAATTGCTTTAATTTACAAAATTGCAACATACAATCCTGAGAATCATATTAAGGTACAGTACACCAAGGTCAAAGATGCTGCCTTCAAAGACAGGATTGCTCCTCATGTAGGCACATCAAAACTCATTTTATAGCAATTAGTTCAGGTATTGATAACAGCAGTTACACCAGCAAGAGGCTCATTTTAGCATCCAGTTGGATGTGTATTTGACAGCCAGCTAGTACTGAATTACATCTTCTTAAGGCCACACTGCTAACAGTATGTAAGCCAGCTATTTCACAACTATGTTTTACCTTTCCATATACTACAGTCACACTGCTAAGACGACGTGCTCAGAATGACACTCACTGCTAGCACAAGAGATGCTGAAAAGAAGACAACAAGCACCTAGCTCCAAAAACGTCTGTTGACTTCAGGTGGCAACCTAATAATCAATTTTCAAAAGTGTGTACTGGGCACTTACTGTAGGAAACAAAAGCTCACAGACAGTGAACCCGTAGTCCTGAAAAGTTTCAAGTTGGGTGTCTACAAACTGAGGAACTCAAAATTGGCTGGTACTAGAAGATATGGGCTAAATTTGCTGCCTTTCACATCAGCAGGGAAAATGCTATCTCTCTCATTTGCTTAAAATTTTTTGCCTTTACTCAAGGCTTACTGTGTTGCAGATCTGTACACACAGAAGTACTTATCTATCACTATAAATACGTGTATTGTTGTAAGAACTACAGTGTGATAAAAGACTATTTTTTTGGAGCCACCTTGTCCTCAGAGGCCTCCGCTGGGTTCTAACCTCCAGCAGCAGAACCAGCCCTTGCGGTCTTGGCCAATGCCAACCTAAGTTATGAAAAGTCCTTCCTTGGAGTTCAGTGGATATATTAGGTCTTCAACACACAATCCTTGCCAATCAATGGATGTGCTGAGACCAAGACAGATATAAAAAGGAGAACACTGTTTTGCAGTTCCTTCACACTGTCTTCCTGAAAATAAGGGGAATTACTATACAGAGTACTAGAGAGTTTTTTAGCGTTGCCTGCTGTAAACTGTTACCCAGATCATGCTAAAACATCCTAGGTAGTGCGAAACCACAGATACTGCTGGTTCAATGAAGAGGTCTTAAAAACTCCTTTTTTTTCTTTAGCCTGACATGATAGGTATCATTTGGGAAGCACCGGCCTGTGTGCACAAGACAGACTAGCACATCATAAGATTTTAGGTTCCAGGGAAGGTATTATGTAGCTGTAGCAATTAATCTAAGCTTAACATAGAGCTGGCTTCAAGGTGAGGTCAAAGGCTAATTCAAATGGTGTAATCCTAGTATCTTCCACAGTCACCACTTTTATTTATATGATTTTATCTTCTCTGATTAAAAGGGTGGTGGTCTGCACTGAGGATGATACCTAGGTATAACTGGCTGACACTCAGATCTTGATCATCCAGCCCTGGTTAACGAACATTGATTTTCTGCCCCAGTGGAAGTGATTTTATTCTGATGCATGCCATTTACATTCATTTTACACAGCTGCTTAGCGTGGCTTGGCAAGGCAGAGGCAAACCAGCTTTCTATGTCTAAATGAGACTCCTGAGCTGGTAAAGGATAGATCCTGTGGATTAACAGCTGAAGATAAAATGTCTCTCCCCTATTGATACTTGGCTACTGATTCAACAAGTTGACCTTGAAAGGGATCACGACCAACTTTACACAAATAGTGCTGTGTAACCATGACTCTGACACAACCATTTCATTTTCTTCTTAATTCTACAGAGGGGCGTGTTTTACAGTAACAAAAATACACCAGTTTTTGAATCCCACAGCTGAATCTTATAAACTCAAGACATTCAAAGAAAAAGGCTGGACACTATTCATGCACTTTGGCATATAACAGTGGATGCCTTTCCAGTTAGACGAAACACTATGGGGCAAGTGCTCTCCCATTTCACTAATTTTTGCTTTTTGAACAGGAGAACTTGTGTTCTAATTTTTTGTTTTGCTTTGTACTTTTTCATATGCACATATATGAATGAAGTTATTAGGGAAAACAAACAAACAAACAAAAGCAGCTACAGAAAACTGGTAATTAAAACCTGTTAATAACCATGAAGGCAGCAGTAATTTGGGTATTACAGATTTCCTACAGAGGTAACAACTGAAATAACATGATGGCAGGGAAGTCCATGAAACTTGAATCTCAGGTGAAGCTGGACTTGGTTGTGAGGGAGCTACAGGCTGGGAGCCAGTGTAGATACTTTCTCCCAGTGCTGTGATTTATGATATGGTTACAGAAATCACAGTGTAAAGGACTCTGGTAAGAAAACAGTAGCTGCATTTCAGGAAAATGTTTTGCACTGGATAGTTAGTGCTCCTAAAAATTATTCTAGTGACTAACTGAAATTTTTCAAATACATGCATGCTCATTACAACATAATAAAACTTTCTTAAGAAACGCTGTCATCACTCCTGCAGTATACCACCTCTCAGAAAGGGATCATACTTTGGGGGTTGCAGCTTGCTGCCCAGGCAGCAATGACAATACCACCACCAAGTCAAAAAAACCGGGGTTGCAGAGCACCGCTGCGAGACAAGAACACCAACAATGAGGGGAGAAAGACGATGCCTGGGTCAGGGGGAGAAGGGATCTCATTCCTTCTCGGTGATGAGGTTCTTCATTTCCCTCTCAGGCACAAGGAAACGGAGCCATGCCAAAAGCCATGCAGGTCAGTGAGCGAGTGACATGCAGATTTTCATCGTATTGTCACAGTGGCGTTAGTAAAAAGAAAACAAAAAACTAGAATCCCCTCTATGGTGCAAGTATTTGTGTATCTTTCACATGATTTTTATATTCCTTCAGCAACCGGATGTTCATAATGTTCATAAACATTAAAAAAAATTGCCAAGGTCCCACAGCAAGTCCAGTTTACATTGCCACCTACCCGTACTGGTCAGGCTGGTGCATCAAGGAAGCCTGAGCGTTGCCATAGCTGGGGTGCTGTGAAGAAAACATGGGGCGTCCGCCAGCCCCAGACTGGCTGGGATAAGCAGGCGACCTAATGTATGGTGGCCTAAAGCAGAACAAAAGAACAGCCTCTTTGGATTTGCTCTGTATCACAAATACGAATCACTGTCAAGTACCTTCCTTCCGTATGCAAGCATGGAGGACTTGCAGGAACAGCCAAAAGCCATTACGCTTTCTGCCCTACAGTTGACTCGAGGGCAAAGAGGAAAACAGTGTGCTTGCAACCCCCTGGCATCAGAGGGGTGTGGCAGGTTTTGCTCAATTTGCAGTTTATAAATAGCCCTTTTGGCAGTATTTGCAATAGAGGTTCGGTGACTGCACAGCCTGCACAGGTGCTGGATCACTGGAATGGGCAGTCTGTGATGAAAAGGCTCTGAAATGGTGCAGTTTTGTCCAGAAACCAAAAGCAGTTTTACAGAAGTAAGGTGTGAGATAGATTTAACCTAGTTTTCGATCAAACACCACACGCTATGCCCAAAGTGTAATTTGAATCGCAACCAAATACTTTCTGCTTATAGCCTAAACCAGGCAGACAGAAGCAGACTTTTGTACATCCTACTAGACAGGTCTGTTAAAAAAACCAACACAAGCAAGAGACTGCTGGTTCACTTCTGCTGAAGTACGGTCTATTTTAAGGGACTACGGTTCTGTATTACTGAACAAGAACGTGACGTACACTAAATTTACTGTTATTGTTTTAAAAGTTTGCTATTGCTTATCACTAGAAGCCACCTGCCTTCCAAACTCGCAAAACAAGAAAGCAACAGATACAGGGACATATCAGCTGCCTACTTCTAGTTTTACATTGTGTCTTGGAATTAGAGCAACTCTAGTGTCCGGAAACATTGGACTTGAATGATAAATACCTGCACGCGTATATGTGCATCTGTGTACACATATGCGTAAATAAATGCAAGATGCTTAATACACACATACACACATAAACACGCTTACCAGGACAGTGCAACCAGCTTTGTGTAATTCTCAAATGTAATGGAACTTCTCGTAACAGAAAAAGATAATAAATACACCAGGAGTTATTTGAGTCCAGGGAAATGCGGTAATTACTTAATCTGAAAAATTTCCCAGAAAATATTATTTCATTGCAAGTATTCAGGCATCTGAAGAATAACCACAGACAGAAAAGTGACTTTGCCAAAATCCATGTGCAAACAGCAACATGCAGTTGTGCTGCCTGACCGGGAGGCAAGAAGACAGATGATGGCTCCAACCTCTACAATCCTGTTTGCAGGTTCTCTCTTCTGGATGCATAGGTGGCAGTTACCAACTCCAGATAACTACAGATTGTTTTTATGCCTCCTTCTGCCTTTCCCTTCCAGCTGCTCCCCTCAGCCTGCCCTCCTCTCCCTCTCTGCATGCCTGCTTAGGGACTAGAGCATCCTGCAGAAGAGAACTGCCATCAGCGCTGCTGCTCACGACATGGGCTGTAAATGCAAGAATTGGTGGGCAGCTTCATAAGCTTCCTTACTCCCTGGCAGGGGCAAGCTGCCAAGGACACGTTGGCCCTCTCTCTACTGGAGATAAAAACTATGTATCCAGCTAACCAATTTTAAGTTGCAGAAGGCTTGTTTTCGACTCCTAATGTCACTGCAACCCTGTGGGTTTTCCCAAAGCCTACAGTGCCAAGAACCAAACTGGAAGCGGCCATCATCTCCATTGTCACAGCTGCTTTTCCAGAGGATAATTCAAACACACAATAGCATGCTTTCCCCTTATGTTTAAGCAAAAGTATTCTTCCCACGTGCCATCTCCCAGAGATAAGGGCACAGGTAGAACATGTATAAACGCATATGCATACACCTATACAGTGCCATTACTTCAGAAATTACAAGAAAAACATTCCTACTCGTTTAAACTCCTTTCACCTGGACGCGTACCTGGTCTGAGCGGAGTTTGCAGCAGCCTGCATCACTGCAGCAGCCGCCTCCTGTGCCTTACGATTCACAGTTGGCATGGGTGGGCCCATCCCGGGGCCTCCCTGCTGAGACATGCCAGGAGAATTGGGGGTCATACTGCTCATGTTGCCAGGAAATGGTCTGCTCTGCATCCCAGCTGATGGCATCCGTCCCAGGGGCATGGTACCGCAAGGCTGGCTTGGCCCCTGTCCATGCATCTGACTGTTGGCATTTATACCCATGCCGGGTCCTGGGCCACTGTAACTTGTGTTGGGCACGCCGCTGTACGTGGGTGGTCTGGAGTAGTTTCCTGAACAAAATGATAAAAAGAACAGAGAAAAGCATTAAACTTTTGAGCAAATAATTCCATTGAGGAAGCTAGCAGCTACAGAACTTACACATGCGAACTGAAGTGAACCACGCTGGCCTCAAAGTCAGGACAACTTTTTCACCATGAGGACAGACAAGCAGTGGAACAAGCTGTCCAAGGTGGTTGTGCAGACTACGTCCTTGGAGGTTTTCAAGACCCAGTTGGATAAGGCCACAAGTAACCTGCTCTGATCTTATATCTGACCCTGATTTGAATACAAGGTCAGCCAAGAACAACTCCTGAGCACCCCTCCAACCTGAATGATCCTATGAACCTGATTTTCACGTACCCTCAAACATTTTCTGCCTAATATATGCAACGGGATAACAGCAAGTACAGAAAAGCACAGCCTCCAGAGAGTTAACAACATAGCACAGAGTACAAAACCACCTTATGCAGTAAAGAGATATGTGGCATGTAAGAAACCCATTACATAAGCTCAAGGGAGAATCTTATTTTTGTAACTTCATGTTCTCATCCTTCATCTTTCTGCAATTTCAGCAACAGGCTATTCTCACCGGCTTCTTGCTCCTAACCGTTCTGCCCGTTTGTGTCAGAGATGCTTTGGCACGGACCGGTGAGGATGGCTGCTGGGCCTGGAGGAACATTCCCGCTCCCTCCTGCCCTACCCTGCCTTCCTGGGAAGTTCAAAGTTTGGCTATGCCAGCAGAAGGGGCGGTAGCTTACAGCACACCTCCTCTGGGAAAACTAGTTATTACAAGAGTAATAAGCAATAGTACAAAGATGCTAATATAAACAGGTGCCTTATGAAGGACGGCACGAAAACCTGGCTGACCTCAATCTACCTTGTCACTGGAGCAAACTGCTCCGCTTGCAGCAGCTTAACTCATTTGAGCGCCGATTTTCCTATCATGTTGAAAGCTCAAGAAAAAGCGAGTGTACAGCATTTGGTGTTACGGAAACAAACCCAAGCAGCATGAGAAAGAGAAAAAAAAAAGGTAAAGATATGATAGAAAAGTATTTTAGGAAACAGATCACATTACACTGCTTCAGTCATCAGTTTTGACTTGTCTTTATTTCCATCTCATCCAGATTAGTGGAAACACGACCCGTTCCCTCCCTGTGGGATGCCGCAGAGCAGAGTTTCCTGACTACTCTTAGATATTCCCACGCTTGTTCAAAGGCAGCAGCCCTTGGACTCTTCCTCTGAACGTGGAGATCAACCACGTCTCTCCTCAGGCCTCAGCTACCAGGCAGAGGAGTCGGTGGCATGCAACTCCCGTTTATATTTAAAATAAATATATTCATCCATCATTTGAATGCACACATAATTAATTCATACGCTCCTGCTGCTGTGCTTTGGCTAATCCTCCCCTCCTCCCCACCCAGTAACTGAGTCACTCTGCTACAAGTTCTGCTCAGCAAGAACATGCGAGACCTACGCTTCCCAAGCAAATGGAGCAACAATTCTCTTCTGTTTTAGAAACCAAGTTTCTGCCTGGGGGTCTTCGCAGAAGGATCCTCAATATGTGGTTCAACAGAGATGAAACGCTTGAGATTCGGCTTTATGCTGACTTCAGACTGCCCTGTCACTTCTCCTCCTCCTCTAGGCTCGGCCGCTGGCAGCTGACTGTTTTCTGTTCAGTGAGCCATCGCCCCTAGCCAGAGTTCTGGTTGCCGAGACACGCTCAAGCCACACTTCTCATCCAACATATGTGACCGCAAACTGAAGGGTTCACTAGTTTCATACTGCTCTGCTTAGCGTTAAAGGTGTAACACACAACTCGATGTTGCTCTGGTTTTCCAGTTGCTTTGTGCAAGAAAGACGTAATGCAGCAAGATGGTGTGTATGTGCGCCCAAAGATTACGCGCAGCCAGTTAACACATTTTATGTACATGCTATGGGTAACACTGCTTCCCAAAGCGAAGCAAATTCCCTCCCTAGACTAGCAGACCTCATATCCATAATCACTGGGAGCTACTGTCAGTCCAATTTACATAAAGCCAATTTGTTTTGTCAGTTAGGGTCTATAAAGTACGATTCAGCAGCGTGCTTGGAGGAGCAAACACCAATGCTAAATACTATTGCTGTTTTGATGCTATTTTGAATTGGGACAAAAAATCTCTTCTTTCGTGTTTTGGCTTCTCCAGCGTAAGCACAACACAGAAAAAACCAGTGGAATCTTCTCCATAAAAATATGTGGCTCAGTTAAAATAGCCCCTAATCATTCATCTCCAGGGATACATGTCCAAGAGCACAGGGAAGTGGTATCTTTTCAGTCAGGAAAACAAGTTTCAATGTTTTTGCCATGTTTTTTTTTCCCTAAGCATTTCCTCAATACCTCAAGTACTAGCTATTCTTATACCTTTCCCAGACCACAGAAAAAAGGCAAAATAAAAGCCAAACAAAATACAAGAGGAATTGCCAGGAATGAGGAGTGCAATCTTATTTCCATGTTTCTCTAATAGATTAGTAATTTGTTGGCAGTGGCTTTGACAGAAAACAGATGGATGCAGCATTAAACACAATGAATGCAGCAGATGCTAGGCCAGCCCACATCAGCTGGACGTGTCAGGCAGCCAAGTCCAAGAGCCCACACTTTTCAAGTGGGTACAAGCCTGGCAACAGCAGCTGTACAATACTGCTGAACAACTCCTCCCCTCCATATCCGAGGGATTTTTGATTCCAACTCCCCCTCGGCAGAGTAGAATTGTACCCAGAGAGATGACATCTCAAATGCATGAGAAAAAACAAAGCAGTAACTGGGATCAGGAGGAAAAAAAAAGTGTAATGAAGATAAACTATAAAAAAGCCTACTAACAACCTGCCAAAGACAGATGTTCATACTTACTGCTGAAACTCTGGTCCACTTTGTCCAGGTTTGCTGAACAAAGTGCTCTGATGTCTTGCCATTTCTAGGCAAGTTGAAAAGAGGGAAATGTGAGAACTACCTGTTAGTTTTGCTCTCTGCTTTAGAGACACAGGTCAGATTCACAGTATTAAAAACAGTATCTTAAAATAATTTTATAATCGTTTACATGTGCACTTAACCATCAAGTCTTTCTTGTACAGACGATTTAAATGTATTGTGAATTCCTCTGTAACTACTTTACCTAGGGGACTTCAGTAGATACAGTCAATATTTAAGTCACAACTCCCCAGGCTGTTGCATATGTGGGTCTCGATTCTGAGGTCCAGACTCTCAAGATACTTAGGGCATCTCACCCTTAAGATGCTACCACTTTAATTAAAATCTCGGATTAAAATCAGTGGGAGCTAGATAGCAAAGTGCTTTTGTGAAATGAGTCCAACATTAAAGGTTACAAAGCACAAATACTCAATTCATATTACTTTACCACGAACAAAAAGGGGTTTAACTTACTGTCAAGTTCTGGGGTTGTGGTTCAGACATATTCAGTAGTGGCTTCTCTCTTGTTACCCCCAAACAGAACAGTTTTACTGCTGAATTGAGCAGGAAAAGTTAGGGAGATGGGATGCACTGTTTTACTGATCTTGTTTTACTGATCCACAGGAAGTTTTTCTCTGCTCCAGTCTTAAAAGACCCAACCGACTACAGCATCCGACTGCTCTCCAGAGTGCATTTCAGGGACATTTTGCTGTGGCAGCAGTTTGATGCTCGGGTCATAGACCAGAGCTTCATTAGCCCCCGAGCTAGATGTTGTCCAAATACAAACCAAAGAGACTGCTTCTTTCAGTAACAACTTCCATTCTCGCTCTGCTTTTTTTTATTCCTGGAGACAGGAAAATGCTGGGATTTAATACAAAATTAAAACTAATGCTCTGTACTGCATGCTCCTGTGTTGTATCACAGACACAGAGAAGTGTGGAGCCAAAGCCATTTTTTATTTTTGTAGGAAATGGTTTCACAGGATTGGACTAGGTCCCCAGTACAGAATTGCTTCCTGGGAAAACATATTCTACTCTTATTATAGATCCAAGTGTCATGTAAACACATGAAAACCAAATAAATCAACCATATGCATGAAATGGATCATTCTGCTCTCAGGAACTGGGGGCTAATTCCTCCAACCCAAACTTACTGGTGTAGTCTTATTACTACGGTGAGCAATTCCACTGCAGAGAAAGGACGCTAGCCTTGAGCACCGGTTTTCAGGACAGCACATAGTGCAATCTAGCATTCAAACGAAAAGCTTAATGTCACAGAATGCTTTGACACATCTATAAAAATACAAGCAGTCCTGTCGAACTCAGCCTATGCTTAACAATATTCTGGAGGAAGGTCTATGTGAACAAAACATGGAAAACTAATCAGGTCCTTGAGAATTATTTTAGTTTAATAATTTAAGAACTCAGTTGCAACCCTGCTAATTTTTAATATATTTGTTATTTGGGCAATAAAAGGCAAATGGAGTAACATTATTATATATTCATCATTGCTGGCATATAATTGTGCTTTGTAAGAGGGTATGTTAAGAGATGCAATTACAGATTGCTTTCATTAAAAATGAAAAATGCTATAAAAAACTTAAATCCAGGTAAATACATGACTTTGAAATATCACCATCTTCATCCCCGGATTTTATTAATGGTCACATTAGCCTGGTGAAAACATAGCATTCTTCTGCTCTATTTGTTACCTGTAGAGCTGAAAGTCTGCAGGGCCCTAATTTTATGGTGACCAGTGCACAGGATCACCGGTACTCTCCAAGAGCTGGCAGAAGAACACGCTTTTCATCCATCACACTATTCACCAGACCCTTTTGAAACGGCCTGTTAATGACAATGATGCTCATTTTCTTCCTGCCCCTCAAGTTCACTTTTTAATAGCCGTTTCTTCCTGACCGCGACCCATAAAATCATTACATAGGCACTTTCATCTACAGAGGGAGGAAAAGAACTGCTGAACTCAAGCAAAAAAGAAAGTAGTATTCGGCGTGTTACTTAAATGCATTGATTTAGTACAAAAACCTTTCCATTCAATCAGTGTGGATGGCTAATGTTTTACTGCACTTGACACTCACTATTCCCATGGTTCGGAATCTCAGCAGCAGCAGTACAGCTGGAAGTCAGGATAGCACATCATAAATCCACTGGATTTTTACCAGTTAAGCTAGTTGCTCACTGTGCAGATAAAAATAAGCACTTGGACAGCATTTTATGGCCACAAAACGCTTTCCAAATAAAAGGAAAGCACCAGTCAACTGGAGTTAGGTAATTAATCTTCACACATGGCTATAAGGCATTACTAGCCCCATTTTACAGTTAAGGAAAGCGAAGCAGAGAAATGAATCTACTTGCCTAAGTTGAAAGATGGTGTAAAAGGCAGAGCCAAAATTAGAAACTGGGAAATCTTGGCTTGTAGCCCTGTGCTCAGAACACTACAACAAACGCGACCCAGAGATGAAACAGAAAGGAACATTGCGCAGGGCAGCACGGCTCCCTGCAAACAAACATCAGAACTAGTTCTCAGAAACTCCGGAGACGAAAATAACCACCCTTGCTAGCATGGGCAAGGCACCGAGCCCTTACAGAATTTCCCATCACTGGCTCCAGTCCTTTTTCAGGATTTTAAGTAAGAAAGCAATAGTAGGAAGTGCTGAAATAGAAAAGCTTCTTTATATACCTCTAAATAAAATACTGCCCGTTATATATTCTGTGGCTTGACTTCAAGTTCATTAAACCCCTAAACAGATGCATACTTTATAAAGGTTATCCATTAAAGGCAAAACAATAGACAAGTTCAAGGTTGTATGCATTGAATGTCCAGGGGCAGAAATTGTGTATTCTATTTTTGTTTTAGTCCTCCAACAATTCTGTCAAACAAGCAAAATAAAAGGAACTGTCTCTCTCAGTCTGAAGGGTTAGTTAAGATTCACAAACCGTATGCATTAGAGCTCAATATTATATTCCCACAGTAGCCACTGTATTATTATGCTCATTAGCAGACTTTAACCCTCACAGTCACTACGCAATTTCAGATTGGCCTTGGGATTCCATCTAAGAAAAGAAGTCCTATTTTGGGATCGGTGTTGTGACCCTTATTCCATGCTTGGTCAAACCCGGCCTTGTCGCAGAGATGACACGCTTGGGCTCCTAAACAATGGCCCTGGCAATGCAACAGATTCATCATTTCCTTGCCCAATTTAAGGTCACTATTTTTATACAGAGAAAGGTGCTAATAACAGAAGCAGCTTCTTCCACAAGGTGCAGCTCCACCTCTGAATGACAGTTTTGTTTGTTTAGTTTTTTGGGGGGAGGGTGAGGGTATGTGTGTGTGTGTGGTGGTTTTTTTTTTGTTTGGTTGATTTTTTTTAAAGAAATCACATACCTACCTACCTACATGATATATATATTTATATTGTACAAATATATATATATAAAAATTATCATATGTATTACCAGCAAGCATTTTACCTTGTGGTCCATACTGGCTCATCTGAGGCCCATAAGTACCACTTGAATTACTCTGCTGAAAGCTACCGATTCCAGGATGCACCTGGCCTCCAGGTGAGGGGTGTGGTGACATGGAAGGTCCAGTTTGCTGAGGTCCATACTGTGACATTTGGGGGTTCCTCTGTATGCCTGCCATAAAACCTAAAGGGAAAAAAGCGCCAAAGCAAAAATTAATATTCAGGTAACTGTTCTTTATTTAAATAATCTTTGACATTAAAAAAAAACCCAACCCTTTTTAGTTATTTTCAGACTAAAGATACTCAGAAAACTGCTGTTGTTCATACGAACAGAAACAAACGCATCTCCAATCCAGCAAAGCTGCCTCAACAACGAAAACCTGTATACAAGGCTCAAAAACTTTTACTTGTAAAAGAAAGGCGGGGCAGTCCTGCTAAGTTACAAATGGCTGCTAATTTTAAAATTAAAACAATCTTCAGGAAAAAAAATTAAAGGTGATCATCTGCATTACCTAATAAGTAGTAAGGAATTTGCCTGATGACTTACAGTGGGAGTATCATAACTTCCAAAATTATATGTTGCTACCAAAATGCGTAACTTCAGCATATAGAAATCCACTGTAAATACTCCTATTGCCCACAAACTCTCAGGATCTAAAATTTCCCTTTATGTGAAGACTAGTCATACCAGCCAGAAAAAAAAGTCCTTTTGGTGTGTATTTGTGCTCTAGGTCCTTCTTCTGGTCTGTCCCCAGCACATTTGTATTGCATTCTCTCCTTTTTCCCTTTCGTAAATGTGGTAATGAATCCCAATTTAATTTAAGGTTCAAAAGCTGAAGCAAGAGACGTAGTGAAATGATATAAAATCTAGAAGCTTCATATAAAAGAACAGAACTAAGCCTATTAAATGGGAGAAGAAGAGGGTTTTGTGGCAGGGTTTTTTAAGCTTTCATGAACTGGGAAAAATCCTGCAGTCTTGCCCATGAAATGTCTATGCAGGGATTCTGGTTTTCTAACATTTTACCCTGACAGGTTTTAGTGCTGCTTTCAGCATTGAAGAGGATGGGCTGAGGAGTCAGCAAGGTCGGATTTCTGGAGGAAATTCGCCTTCTTTTCTCTTCTGCTTGCATATTAAATTTCATCTTCCCGTTTCTCTGAGGCACAAGACGAGCGTAGTGAAGGACAGCGTTTGCTCTGCTGCCACCGGCGGCTCACCCGGTGCGCCGCTGCCCGCCGGGCGGATGTGCATCAGCAAGTCGGCACGTCGGTCCCTCCTGCAACTGGTTCAGGCACCCGCGCTTTGAGGCCGCGGAGACCTGAAGCGTTATTTATTAAAGGTGCCCGTTTCCTCTCCCCTCCGCTAATTCTCGTGGCGTGCCTGTGGGGAGGCGTGAAGTTGCAAGCCAAGAGACACCTCGCCTGGCAGCACTAGTTACGCCTTTCCTTACTTTAGGGAGGGAATAGAAGAAAGGTAAGAGCGAAACCCCCCAGACAGTAAGTGGACAACTGGAAGCTGCTGAAAGGAAGATCAGAAAAAGAAAAAAAAGAGAAATGGAGAGAGAGGGGCAAAGCCAAGTTGCGAAGAGAGACAGAAGCGGGTGACAGGAGGAGGGAGAGGTGGCAGAAGGATGACTCTCCCAAAGGGCCGGGGTGTCCTCCCACTGGTTAGCATCAAACGTCACACAGACCGAACGCTCAATGCCTGGTTAATGAAGAGAGGTAATTTTTTCTGAGCCACATACAGACACATGATCAAACTCTTAATTGAAAACATTGAGGCTCCCATGACCAGGCGGCTCAGGGGTCTCTCTGTGGGGACCACAGCTCCAACAAGCACGTCCTGAACTCGAAAGAGTAAGTTTCTTATCCTAGCGCTGCTGTTACCGACATGGTAGGTGACACTGGGTGAACGACCTGCCCGCCTTTCTGTGGGTCAGCCTCCCTGTTTGTACGCTGGTGACAAAGCACTGTATGAAAGGGGACGGTACCCGCGTTGCAGAAACAAAAGGTGGTGTGTGCTTTACCAGAGATCGGGCTTTGAGTCCAAACACATGTAAACAGTTCTTGAGCCCTCCAACAAACCTTTGCTATATAGCATACTTACCCATCCACTAAAACCCTGTCAGAGAGACAACAAACTCAGTGCCGCAGGTCGTAAGGAGAAAAACCAGGAGCTGAGATGATCTTGCACCCCCCTGTGCCCAGTTCTTTCATGCTACGAACAGCTCAACCTATAACGTGCTAAAACTCGTCACAACTGCAAGGTTTGGCACAATATGCACAGAGTTTTCCTGACCTTTGTGCAAGCCCCAAGACAAGGGATTTGATCACACCTGAACTGCAAAGTCAGAGCCTGGCACCTGCTTTGGAGGAAGCCGGACCACACGCACTGGCATGTGGCATGGCAAATAACCGAGGATGAGATGGCGGCTTGAAAACTGCACTGGTTGGAAAACTCCACACTTCTGCAAAGGAAAGCTCATATGACCTTCTCCACCCAGCTTTATCTTGAAACAGACCCCTCGATTTTTAAAATAGTTCCACTCTGCGCACAAATCTTATTACAAAGCCTATGCCTTCTGCCGACAGTGCTGTAACTAATTTAGAAACCTGATACAATCGTATGTCTGTATGAAATAAATGCTCGCATTCCCGACACACATACACCATATATATCACACTCGTGGGATCCATTTAAATGAAAAATTTTGTACTGGTCACGCTAAGTTTTTTATTATAAAGATAGTAAAGTTACTCCTGTATCTAGTACAGAAGTGAGGGTTTTCTGTTCGCTGTGGGCCTTTTAATCTATACGAGAGAACTTTCCAAACATTGTGCTAGTGATAAAGGTTTTTCAGCCCAGTTATTATTGCAGGCAGTGCTTTTCTTAACACCACAAGGACGGATGACACATTGAAAAGCTGTCGTTTGTACGGGTTGTAGTGATTTCCAGTAGTGATGCAGGGGGACTGCTGGTTGTTGAATCTAATGGAGAACATGGACTAATGTCTAATGGAGAACATGGAGAACATCAGTTTTAGCCAGCTCTGCTGTTGTCAGAAGGGCTCCTGAAGGGACTAGAGTAATAAGTGAAATAAATGTTTCCACTCAAATGACCTCTTCTTCAGGAAACTTCTCCTAATCTGTTTCTGATGCTGTGGAGTGGGTTGCGTGGCTAGGTGTACAGTCATAAATAAAACATGCCGGGACCATTCCCTGGCCTGGAGAGCGGCGTGGCACGCTCGTGTCCATCCAGCTAAACCTTCCCACTCAATCCTGGTAGTCTTATCCGTATGACTCCTGTGTGCAGTCCCTTGTGCTGCCTCATCCATGCCCAGGGCTGTGGCTCCAGGAGTGCTGACAGGCATCGGTGCAACCCACGCCGCGGGGCACACCAGTAATTCAACAGCAGTGGTAACTGCGTGATACTACTCAAACGCATGCTCTGGCCTTAGTTTACAGAGATGTTGATTAACACAAGAACGGAACAGACTCCTTATCAGCTTTTGACGTGAGGCATGAGTTTCATCACCCCAGAGGGTGTGAGATACCTCTCAAATGAAGCTGGCTTTGCTGTCTTCTCTTGAGCATGACAGGCAAAGAATTAAGGAAAAGGAAGCCTGAAATTCAGGAAGAGTATCTGTGCCATATTATCTTCTGTCACTGTCTGTACGGTACGCTGATGCATGGCCTTAGAATAGGGCATGCTCCAACCTCCTTCCAGAGAGCAGAGGAGTCCTTTCAGCTATACGTGCGACGTGGAGAACAAGATAAGATCAGGTCCTTACTGTGGTCTGGATTCCATCACAACAAAGAGGAGTCTATCCTCATCTGCCGCCCTGAGAGCCCAGTGAATGTTCAGAGACCAGTGCATGAGTTTGAAGTGTTCCAAGTATTTGCAGAAAGCTCAGATGTCTTAGAGAGAAAAGGGGCTCCTGGGCAAGACGTTAACATTCTTGCATCATAAGGAGAAAACAACATCAATTTTAGAAATCTGATCAGAAATGAAAGGGAGCAGCTGGCATACATTCATTTTTCCTTATTTACACACGTTTTCCCTAGTGTTCAACTTCATTTTATAACCGATACAAAAAGAAATAAATTTTCTTTCCAGAAAATTAGATGTAAGATAAAGTTTGCTTTTGTAAAGAAGGGAAGTAGGATTACATTAGAGCTGCACTGGAGTAAAGGCGGTGGAGTGATTAAGCAGCCAGACCGCATCTGACACGTCAACCTCTGTGACAACAAGGTGGGGTTTTTTGTCTTTTAAATAAACTGCTAGGAAACAGCTATGAGTTAAGACTTTAAAAATTGCAATGGCAACATGCTCATCAGTGAACAAATCTACTCCCTTCCCTTAATATTAGTGATAAAAGAGGTACAGATGATGCTTTACTTGCCATCACAACAGGAGATTACTTACCGAAAAAACACTTGAGTGGATTTTGGCAAACTAAGCTATTTCAGGAGCAGCTGAATAAAGTGAGCCTGCCAGAAGCATTCTCTTCCTTTTTAGTTATTTTTTACATTACATTAACGTACCTAAAGAATGGTTGTCTTTATTAAAACCCAATTTAAAGTTGTAGAGCCATCTTTGCATTTTTTTAGTTCTAAATGAACCAGTAGCATACTATTGACAATTAGCACACCGTAAGTATAATAAAATACGTTTGCATGTTCAAATAGAACGTGCATACAAGGTTTAAAAATGGTCAGGTAGCAGCATATTTTTTTTGTCCTTTTTAGTAAAATATAGAGAAAAATAGGAAACAGGCAATGCTTATGACAAAAGTGTTTCTGCCTCTTTGATAAAGGAAAAGACAAAAATGAAGCTTCTGTTGCCCTATACAGTACTAACATCTGGTAATATACATCATATAGCTAATACCATTTAAGATGCCTCTGTAAAAACATTTAAAATCTTGTTTTTCCCTTATGCATACGTATACTCAAAACAGATAAACAACAGTAAATTACTAAAGCTTCATGAAATTACACACTAAGGTTGCCTTAATTACATTTGTACACTGACCAATACAAAATAATCTGTTTGTTGAATACTATCTCCTTAGCACTAACCAAGAAAAACATCCACCACGTGCTGGGTGTTGCTGCAAAATCTGAAATGGATTCTTTTGATGTTTTAAAGTCTTGGCTTGAACATGAAAAAACCTTCCCAGGAAA